TCTCACCCTTCTCTTTCTTTCTCTTTCTCTCTTTGGTCAGAATATAAGAAGACAAGGAAGAATGAGGAGAAGGGTTAGTGGTTTGGGCGGGGCGGAATTGAGGGCGGTCTGGATGCTTTCTAAGAAGGGTCGATAGTTACGTGCAAAAAAGGAAGAAGAAGACAGATGAATGCGAAAAAAATATTAAACATAAAGATGAAATAAAACTTATTTCGCTTCGCGTTTTAACGAACACAGCGTCGATAGTTTTTTTATGTGTATGCATCTAAAGAGCTCAAGAGGTCGCCTTGGAGTTAGAGTCGCTGACATTTCGGCTTTGCTCACAATGGCGAAACCGATGGAAAATGGTGGACAAGGGTTGGGTCGCGACTGCAGGGGCTGCGCGCGCCTCCGCAGATCAATATTTCATTTCAGACTTACCAACCTCCTCCTGTTTCAGCCTTCGCCTTTTCTCTCTCTCTCTCTCTCTTTCTCTTTCTCTTTCTCTTTCTCTCTCTTTCTCTCTTTCTCTCTCTCTTTCTATCTTTACCTATCTATCTGTCTATCTCTTTTTTCTTTCTTTCTTTTTTACACGTTATATCGCAGCATAATAATTACCCCTACCCCTTCTTTACTTCTTTCTCTTAAAATTCTCATTTTTATCTTCTTCATTTTCCTCAATCTCTTTTGTTTTCATACACACACATACACACACAAACATATCTAGAGGTACATTTATGAACGTTCGTATATACACGTTAATATTATCTGTTAACAAGAGTTTTATTCTCTCTCTCTCTCTCTCTCTCTCTCTCTCTCTCTCTCTCTCTCTTTTTTCCTCGAAAAAATTTTACCATTCCAAAAGTCGATAAATGATATTAACGAGGTTTAATATACGTACATACGTTCAAAATTCAAACGAATTGATTTGTTGAAAATGGATAAATGTCGTTTGAAGTATTTTGTTATTAACGCATTGAGGTTATCCCCTTGTACTATATCGATTGAATAGAACGACAAAATAATGAGAATAGTTACGTAATAGAAATTTATCGATATATAATAAATTTATTAGCACATATATATATATATGTACATATACATATATATTTGCCGGAAAATATTTGTCCGTATCGATTGGTTGGGTTATATCGGTTACGTACATATATGTAAAATCTTGTTTTATTAAATCCTCTTTTGATATTCCATACCCAGCAGAATGGTTCCAATCAAAAATGGCGCATGTAGTTTGTGATCGACCAATCACGTTCACGTTTTGATCATCCAAATTTCAAAGAGACCAAAAAATGCGCTTATAGGCAATCCAAAAAACATGTCGTTCTCGCTTCTTTCGATCGGAAAGGAAATATTTTTGAAAAGAATGATATATATATACAAAACATACATACACTTATATTTTTCCAATATTGTATGTTTTTCGTCTAGATAGATCAAGGTATCTCAAATGTATAAAGGCGTACGCCCCCGTAAAATGGGAAGGATTGATAGGCGAATTAACAATTAGAAAATCATGTTGCATTCGTTATCTTATCATCGATATAATCAAAAATATTACTATTGTGAATCCATTGAAATTTTTGAAATGTCGAAATGATGGGCCGCCTATGATCCAGAGAACATTTGGTATAGATCGTTAAACGACTCTCTCTCTTCTTTTATTTTCCATTTATTTATGCTTCGTATTCAGATACAATAAATAGTTAAAATCAATCCTTTTCTTGAATCTCTTTGAAAACCTTGAACCAATATCGATCCATCGAAGTGCAGTCGCTCGATTACGAATTCTCCTCGGAAGAGAAGGCATTTGCGCTCACGAAACCCGTATTTAACCTGGACTCACACATACACATACACACATTCATTTTCCCTCCCTTCTTCCCTTCCTTCCCCCCTCTCTCTCTCTCTCTCTCTCTCTCTTATGTAACCTATTTACTTTTTCAGCTTTATCCAAAAATGGGCGTACCAAACGTTACTTCTTGTGATCGATACACACCAGATTGATCGTCAATACAGATCTCAATAGATTCTCATGAATTCATGATAGAAAATAGATGGATAGAGGCTATTTTGTAAATCAACTTCCTTTATTCTGGTTTCAATATGTTCTTAGAAAATAGTGTAAAAAGAGATTGAATATTATCTTTATACTTTGTTTTTCTTTTTTTTTTCTTTTTTTTTTTCAATTGAACAAAAAAAAACTCGAGTTATGGCTGACCACACTTCAATTTTTTTTCTTTATCTCTTTGTTTCTTTTTTTCATTTTTCATATCGGATGTTTTCATGTCATGATCTATGAAATAAGAAAAAAAGCTGGAGAAACAAATTTATTCAACTCTGAGATCTACTTTTTCTATATGTTTAATGGTTCGATCATTAGACAATACACAGAGATAATCGCATTACAATAATTATATATTTATTTATCGATCGATTGTTGCGCCGTATAAGAGCATTTCCTATATATTTAATTTGATCATTAATTGAAATAACTAGGTGAGACTACCATAAGTGTGATATGTTGTACATCGTCGCTTATGATACTATCATAATATAATATCGTGGTTATACTACTTCTCTTGTCATTTTGTTTTTTCATTTAGTATTATCGATAAACAAATATACATACAAATTTAATATATAAAATTAAATATGTATATATATATATACAATTGTGATTTACAAAATCGTGATATGGCTGTGATATATAAAAATCGTTATACGTATGTTTATTCACAATGAGAACGTGTGCGTTTCTCTTTTATGATATCCATAATATTATTTATGTTAAAATGTTGGACCCATCAAGGAGAAGTTGACTTTTCGATCATAAGTATACACGCCTACGCCTCTCGAAAGACACGTAGGATCAAGAGTAGCTTACTCGGGTCAACGATCGCTCTCTCTCTCTCTCTTTCTATATATATATATATATATATATATATATATATATCTATTTATCTATCTATCTATCTATCTATCTATCTATCTATCTATCTATCTATCTATCTATCTATCTATCTATCTATCTCTGTCTGCCTGACTGTCTCTCTCATTCTCTTTTTCTTTTTCTTTCTCTCTAAAACCCCAGCCTCACCCATCCCTCTTCATTCTTTCTCTATTCCGCAATAATGCGTTTTCGTAGAAACTTCGTTTATGCCTTTATACTCGCGATAAACGATCGAAAATTTGGTTCACCGTTAAATAGCATTTTGGAGAAATCTCTCACGATTAGGATCAAAGTGTTAACATGTTGATAGGCATTTAACGTTCTTTTTCTTCTGACCAAAATTAACATAAAAATAAAACAAAGAAATATATTTCTAATATCTTTCTTATCGCGAGGAAACATTGAACGTAGATTGAATTGAAAATTCTCAAAAAAATTGGATTTATTATCTATATCAGAGTGAAACATAGTTTTCGATTAATTTCTATTTATTTGCTCAGGTTTTTTTATTTTAATAATAATAATGACTTATTTTTATTGCTGTTGTATATTATTATTATTATTAATGATAAGTATTTTGTAAAATTAAGTGATTATAGTTTATTACGTGAGTTTTTCGGTATAAATAATTAAGGATCAATATATATATTGCATCATTTATATCAAATACTGAAATTTCATTAGAAATACTGACCATTTATTTATTTATATATAATATTTAACTATAACATTTAAGAATACTGATCTATATAATAAATAGTAACTGTTTTAATTAACGAGATTAAATTCAATCATCAGGACATTATACATTGGGAATTATAATAGTCTGTACAAATAAAATCTTGATAAAGTCCTAATATATATATATATTATAATATATAATATATAATAATATATAATATTAATATATATATATATATATATATATATATATATATATATATAGTGTGCGTGTGTCTATCTTTGTAAGACCATCCTCGTACAAAGACAAAAGATACAGCAGAAGGAATTATGTCATTGAAATAAAAATGCAAAGGGAGATTACAGTATTAACTTAACCATAAGAAAGAGACTATGGACGGGAGAGGGTAAAAGAGAGATGGCAAGTAATAAAATAAAAAGAAAGAAGATAAAGGAGAAATATGTTACAACGAAACAAACGATAAATGATATTAATATTTCTTTTAAATATATCAAATTTTGATATATTATTTTCATTATTTTATTGAACGATTCACAATTGACTACATATTTAGTAAATTATTCAAAATAAATTTTTAACTTGTATTAAACATTATAACGCATTATGAGTATGATTTATTAATTATAAGGTTATTCAGGCATATAGAAAGAAGAGAGAGTAAGAGGGGGGAGAGAAAGAAAGAAAGGATATTTATGAAACGTGGACTTATTTGTGAGAGAAATAGATCAACCGTGACGATGTTATATATGTAATTATCCAACTTATCGATCCCTAAATACGTACATATTGTGTTATCTGCGAATAATTATTTGTTCTGCCTCTCGTTGGGGAATAATAATAATAATAATAATAATAATAATAATAATAATAATAATAATAATAATAATTAAAAGAGGAAAAAAGAAGTAAAAAAAAATTGCCCAGTTCTGGAAGACGAGAATAGGAAGAGTGAAGAGGAGGAAAAGGAGGTGATGGAGGAGGAGATGGCGGAGGAGATCTGACGTCCTCGCGCGTTGCGGCGCGAGGCGTCGTGTCGTCGCGCGTCCCGGGACGGCGCTGCCCCACCCAAGCAGCCTTCGGTCGGTCGGCCATGCGGATCAATACACGGTCCCTCGTGCGCACGAGTTATAACGAGTAAATACGAGTATGAACGAACTCGAACGAATTCAACCGAGCCCCGGTACCCGATGCGTTACGAGTCCCCACCAACGAGCGGCGTTGCCGGCTCAGTCGCTGTGCGGGAGTGGTCACCGAGGGATGTGCGGTATCATCGTAACCGAGTGCGACTAAAGAAAAACCAAATCCGAAGCGTTTATAATATAGTTACTTCTTTTCCACGGCGTGTGTTTCTTCATATTATCTTCGGCTATATTATAGCTTTCTCGGGTGCGCACATATACTCTCTCTCTCTATTCATTTCTCTCTCTTTCTATCTCTTTATCTCGTGCGCGTGCGGTATCTCTTTTTCTCTCTCTCTCTCTCTCTCTCTCGTTTTTATACACGCCTCCCTACCGCAACGCGATTATTAAACTCCGTCGCGAGTTGTCTAGTCAGTTCTTTTATTTCGAAGGAGCTCGTCGTTACCCCGCCCTCTGTTTCTCTCTCTCTCTCTCTCTCTTTCTCTATCTTTCTCTATCTATCTTTCTCTCTATTTATCTGTCTCGTTCTTTCTTCGCCCGACGATCGAAGAATTAACCGAAATCGTCGTCTAACACCGCCGATCGTGATATTTATTTAAGTATTATTGTACAAAGACTATAAAAACTACATAGGTAGGTGTAATAAATGTGACGTCACGTACGTTTACATTTTATATAAGTATTATTTTTACTATGTAGTAATAATAATTTATCATATAATATCATTACGCTTGTTATTTTGGGTATCAATCATATCTTTTACTAGAGAATTATAACATCAAAGTCATACTGGATTTAATTGCAATAAGAAATTTTCTTACTATCTTCTTTCTTTTTTCTTCCTCTCCCTCCCTCTCCCATCTCTGTCTCTCTCCGCACACACTTTCTGTTCTTTAACGATTCGGACGTCTATAACCATGTCGTGGTTTTTGTCATTGACGATGACACGATATGAATGTTACTGGTCATTCTTTGAATGTACTTTTTTTACCTCAGAAACGTAAGGAAAAAAGAAAAAAAAGAAGAAAAAGAGAAAAAAAGAGAAAAAAGGAAAGAAGAGCGTAAGAAACGTCGAGACTATCTATTGATCCCCGCGGCACACTATCGTGCGCTCTGCGACGCAAAAGAAGAGAGAGACAGACAGCTAATGCACAGATAGCCTAGCTCTAGCTAACTGGGCTTTTATTAGCTATATTTTAACTTATCTCTCTCTCTCTCTCAAGATATTCCTTTCTTGTTTCTTAAATACAAATTACATATATATATATATATATATATATATATATATATATATATATATATGCATGTATGTATGGTATATGTTTTCTAAACCAAGCTCGACAAATTTTGAGAGTTTTAGCTGCGTTATCGAAAAGCACACGCGAAGAATTTTGAGCTTTGGTGGTGTGTGTGTGTGTGTATATATGTATATATATGTATATATATAGGCTCTTTTTGTAGTGTGCGCTTGCGCGTACTTGGCCCATTCTCTCTCTCTCTCTCTCTCTCTCTCTCTCTCTCTCTCTCTCTCTCTCTCTCTCTCTCTCTCTCTCTCTCTCTCTCTCTCTCTCTCTCTCTCTCTCTCTCTCTCTCTCTCTCTCTCTCTCTCTCTCTCTCTCTCTCTCTCTCTTCTCTTTCTCTCTTGTTCGTTCGTTCGTGAAAGTAGCGCCGTAGTGCTTTCGGTCTAGCTCGGTGCTTCTCGGTAAGCAACGACGACGCAGTTATACGCTCGAAGGTGGAGCACGACGAAGGCGACCATAACCTCAAAGGATTACGAGGCGTGTCTCTCTCTTTCCTTCTTTCTTTCTATTTTTCTTTATCTCTCTTTCTCGCTTTCAAACGACCTTCGTATTATGTCGCATTTATTCTTGTCTCATATATATATATATATATGTTTATCGTGTATAGGAAAATTCGTTATAATTTTTCATTAATATAATTTCAACGCGAAATATTTTTTATATAACAATTATTTATTAATCGCTGTATTATATAAATCATTTTATTAACTAGTTCTTTGCAATTATAGAGAGCATGTATGTATGTGTGTAGAATATTTAGGACTAAATTTGAAAAATCGTTTTTGAGTGTGATTTTTTTATTTTTTTTTTGTTTTTTAGAAAGATTGCTGTGAATTATTCAAAAACTTACTATCTCCTTGTACGGAAGCGTACACTTAGTGTACGTCTAAATATGTCTCTTTTGCGCGGTAGTTTCTACGGAACGCTGAGAAATATGTTGGTGTGTTTAGAGAGTCGCCAACGCCGTCGCGAGATTAGAATTCTTATTCCGTCGTGCGTGTCAGGAGTTAGCTTAGCGATATATTGAACGAGAGATATTTCTCTACGATTATCTCATGCCTTTTTCTTATCCTTTTTCTTTTATTTTCTTTCTTTTTTCTTTCCTTTTTTTCGTCTCACGTCTTACGATATTTTCTCACTTTTATCTATCAGATAAATAAAATTTTTCTTATATTCTATATAATATTTTAATTGTATCGGATCAATATATTAAAGAAAAAGAAAAAAGATTATAATGTGTTACATAAGATTTGAAAATCGTGTTTTATCGAGTTTTCGATAAGCGGTAATATACGTTTGAGAAACTCTGATTATCAAAATTCGAAAATTCTATTTGTTCGTGAAAATAGAATTTCTTTTTTTAAATTTGACATTCGAATTTCTCTCTCTTTCTCTCTCTCCCTTCTCTCTCTCTCTCTCTCTCTCTCTCTTTTTCTCTCTCTCTCTCCCTTCTCTCTCTCTCTCTCTCTCTCATAATCAAAGAGTATGAATCGAAACATCGATAAGCTATTTGCATTCAAGTCTTGCATGGAATAATAATTCATGAACGAAGACGAATCGAGAACAATCTCTCTTTCTCTTTTCTTTTAATCTTTCTCTTTGCTTGCCATGTCTTGTCATGTTGCAGCAAGCTCTGGGGGTCTTCCATCTCCTTTTCCTTCTTCTCTTTTTAATTCATTTATCGTTGCATTAATAATCTACTTTAATATCTTTATCAAGCTTGTAAATGAGAATGTCATAAGTTAATTATACGTATATATGGACTGGGAAATATTTCAAAATCTTTAAGATTCTACTACTACAAGTACGCTACTTGCATATTCTTCTCAAATATTCCATTAAAAATCTTAACATCTTGAAACGTTATCGAATTCTTTCATACATCATTATACTATTTTAATTGGAAGAAAAAAAGAAGAAATCTTTTTAATATTAACATACTTTTATTGTTATTCATTTTATATATATATATATGTTAATTAAAATTATATATATATATTAATATTAATATTAATAAATTTCATTTAAATGAATTTTTAATTCAATTAATAAACGGGTAGTAACGAGATATATTTCACTTTTCGGTTTATAAATGATTAGGATAATTCGTGTAATTGTTTAAAAGAAATTGATGAAATTATCGAGTCAAAAGTATCTGAATAATTTTAAAAATCAATTACTCTCTTTCGAAAATTCTTCATATTGTTACAGGTTAGGATTTACTTCTTTTTTTTACCCTTAAAAGAGTAATCGATTTCTTAAAATTGTCTAAGAACTTTTGGCTAACTCTATATATGTAAATATATCTATACATTGAATTTGTAAAAATCATTCACAGCTTCTGTAATCTTTGCAGATATATATATATATATATATATATATATATATATATATATGTTCGTTGACGTGAAAATGTTCTTATCAAAGCGGTAAAATGTAGCGCGATAGAGAGAAGATAAGCACTCGAGATAATATTACTTATCTCTCTCCTCTCTCTCTCTTTATTTTTTTCTACGATACAATAGATGTTATACACTAATTGCAAAAATACTAAATTCCACGAGTTTACTTAGAAACTTCTTACTTTTGCAGTGATCATCGTTTTTCATAATCTGTTTTTCATAATTCGTTTTTCATAAGAAAATCAAGATGGCTGATGGTGCGTATCCGCAATAAAAGAAATCAAGATGGCCGGTTTGATTTTTTTCTCGCGAAATACGAAAGACTTCTATTATAAATTTATACTATTTCCCGTGTATTTAAAAGCGCCCGTGTTGCTGCTCTTGTTTCTCATGCTATTCATCTATCCACCTCGAATTCGTCGTAATCGTCGTAGTCGGTTAAAGACACGCTCTTTGAAAGCCTGTGAATCATCACTATAACGTTTCAGTCTCTTACTTGGCGTATTATATTGGCTGCATGACGTAATGACGGAGGACGGTAAATTTATTCGTTTCCTAGGTTAACGTCTTGGGCGAGTTCTCGCAGAACAAACTTGTATATCATTTTTTTTTCTTTTTCATCGCTTTAACAATGAAAATTCGTGAGATAATCATTTTTTTTCACAGATTTCTTTTTCTCTTTTTTCTTTTTCCCCGCTCTCTTATGAAATCATTGAATTTATATTACATCGAACGCGACAAGATAGTATATCACACTGATCACAAAGAAAAACCAACGGTCAAAGATCGTTTCAAGTATCATCGATTATATTACTCATAACGAAGCGCATAAAGATTCTTAGAATTATGACAAAAAATAACCACCAACGAGTCCTTTGAATTTCTGAATCACAGAGTTATAGTCACAGGTTGGCCGTGATTCGAGAAATTTTTTAATAATTGTAGCTTGTTATATAAAAATTTTCCACAATATATTTTGTAGCTCATTGAAAATGTTTGAATGTGTCGGAAATGTCTATAATGTCCATCGAGGTATATAGGTAGGTAGGTAGATAGGTTAGTTAAGTGTGTGCGTCTAACATCGGCGTCATTCGGCACGAGAAGTTCCAATCGCGATCTCCGCTCTAAAAGCGTACGCCGGAAATATTTCACCGGCGTCGTTGGATTCCACGGGGCCCCTCATGATGTAGAGATCCGGCAACACTGTTTTCTGCGTTCGTCGCGACGACGACGGCGGCGACGCAGTGCCGGCTTATGCGCGCGCGAGAACTTGTGACTTTAAAGCCAGGTGATCACGCGGGATTAAATATAGGATACCGAATTACATCTCTCTCTTACTTTTTTTCTCTCTCTCTCTCTTTCTCTCTCTCTCTCTCTCTCTCTCTCTCTCTCTTTCTCTCTCTCTCTCTCTCTCTCTCTTTCTCTCTCTCTCTCTCTCTCTCTCTCTCTCTCTCTCTCTCTCTCTCTTTCTCTCTCTCTCTCTCTTCTATCCTTCGAGTCTCTTGCGTATTCATATATGATAACATTTGTAATCTCCATTTCTTGAAAAGCCCACGTTATATCACGTGGCCGCACTACGTATGTCATGTTCCGCTCTTTTCTCCAACGTTACGTCTCTACCATCATATAATGGTAAAATAGACGACCGGAAACGTAATGTGTGTGTGTGCGTGCGTCTATATATTATATATATATATATAAAATAGATTCGTCAAATATTTATTCGAGTGCGTAAGCATAGACACAATGTGATCTATGTGTGAAAATTCTATGTAAATAATGTATCATGAGTAATTTTTTTTTCTTTTTTCTTTTTTCTTTTTTCTTTTTTCTTTTTTCTTTTTTCTTTTTTGTCATCTTTTTTTTTTTCGGTGAAATATCCTCTCTACCAGCTACCATTTTAAGTACTATTTTTACCTATTTTTCTCTT